GTCTCCCCGTGACTGTCTGCACACCACTGCCCCCCACTGGACACTGAGGGACGCGGCCGCCCTCGGGGCTCCTTCCTTCCTAGCTCTGTTTGCGGCTCCCAGCCTAACCCACTTCTCCGTTTCTCAGCAGCCTCCTCTCCCCTGATCAGTTTCTCACCCAGACGTGTTGCTGAGACTTCGCGTCCCCCAAGAAGATAAGAGTGAACAAGGCTGCTTGAGTCCTGGCACACTGCAGGTCCCGTGAATACTGCCTGAAAACCAAGGCGACCCTGAGTCACTGGCAAGCCAACCACACCGTAGCCTGTTACTGAGATGATCAACCCTTTTCCTTTGGGGAAAGATCAAGGGAAGGGAAAGCCCACACATGCACCGTGGGCCAGACTGCTCTCTCCTTCCCCGTGACACTCTTCCTCTCTTCGATTACAGGGATTCCTTAATTTGCCTTACTATTTCTGCCCTGACCCCGTTAGCTTGTAAGTACTTTGTCCAGACCAATGACTGACTCATCTGTAAAGCACAGGTCCTCAACTCCAGGTAACAGGACAGGAGTGACTTAATTTGCCAATAGCGACGGTAAAATAAACAAAAAAGAAGGTATCACACATATGGCCTATCCATTGCTTCGGTTTGCCGAGAAGTTAGGCTCATGTCCACAGATGGAACTGGGGTTAGCCCAGGGCCTGGCAGGTATTGGGTCACAGGAATCTGGCTTAGGGAGGAAAGTGACACTCAACAGAAATCTGGGAGTGGCACAGCATGGCCCTGGGATGAACTGGGGGTTGGGAGGTGAGCTTGAAGCCTAGCTCCTCGGGACCACTGCTGGAGATGCTGGGGAGCCCTGGGAGCCAGAACAGAGCCAGAGCAGTAAAGCCACATGGGGAGAGGGAGGACAAGGGAGAATGAGGTCAGACAAGCCAGGGCCCTGGGCAGTTTTCAGGACGATGGGGTGGCCAGTGGCCTCAAGGTGAGTAATGTAGTAAGTAATGTAGTCACTGCAGGTGAGTAATGTAGTCAAGAAAGGCTTGAGAGTCTGTGGGAGGGGTGACATGAAGGTTGATGGGGACCATCTCAGGCTGCCAGGGGGCCAAGCTCTGCTGCCAATGAGATCGATGGGGGATGGGGGGACCCCCCTCCCAGGACAGGAGAGCAACTGGGGAGGCAACCAGAAGCAGGCCAAAGGACAAAGGCTTTTGGTTTTGACCTTGCACCCGAGCTTGGCTCCACCAACCCAGCTCCCCTACTTCCACCAGTTGCAATTTCTAAAAACCAAAACGAATCATATCAACTTCCTGTTGTGATTAACACATCCGCTGGCCTGCCACTTGACGGCCAATGAAGAGCAAAGTTCTGTGCCAATCTGGAGGGTATAATTTATTCTCCAGTTTCTTTTCTTTTAAAAGCTTTTATTTTTTAAGTCCTCTCTGCACCCAGACCCTGGATCGAGAGTCGCAAGCTCGATGGACTAAGCCAGCTAGGCGCCCCTCAGACTCAGTGTCTTTGTCACCTAGAAGGGAGGGTTTGCACAGATCCATGACCCCTTGTCCGAAATCCTTGGCGGCCATGTGTTTTGGGAAAGTCACAGCTTGCTGGAGTCCACAAAGGGAGGACGGCCATGTGGTACCCCGAGCTCCAGCCTGTCTTCAAACACACCAGGTGGGACAGAGACTCCACCGTCTGAGAGGTCAGGCCATCTTCTACCAACGCAGTTACTAAGATACTTTGGTTTTTGTGAGCTTCTCCGATGTTCAGAATTGTGCTAAGGGTTTGAGAACCACCCTCTCAGGGTAGTTCTAACCTAAACAAGACACATGTGTGTGAAAAGGAGGCCAAGTGCAATGTAGAAAGGGTGCTCTCAGGGAGCATTTCTGAAGCCATTCCTCTACAGCTGGAAAAATAACCTGCTTTAGAGAATGCATGGAGCATAGCTGGGGACCCTGGAATGTTCCAGCACAGATCCCCTAACCTCTTGCTCATCCTGGGCTGTCTGTCTTCAGGCGCCAGAGCTGGGCTGAGCAGAAGGGTGCAGGAACCCCCTCACCATGACAATCTCTGCTTGTGAAGCTGTGGTCTCTAGGAGGCAGGGGCAGGGACGAGGTCAGCCCTGCTCTTGCCCCGGGGAGGCACGTGACATAGGGACGTTCCTCACTAGGACAGAAGGCAAAGGTGGCACCGTCTCACGTCCTACAGGCAAAAACCCCTCCTCCCAGAGGGTCTTTGGTCCATACTCTGCCCTCCATCCCTTCACTGCTGTCCTGCGTGGCTCCTCCACCCCATTCTCAGTAACTGGCTCTCAGTCCTCTTCTTCACCCTATCCTCTGCCTGACTCGTAGATGACGTTGACAAAGAGCGGACAAAGTCAGCCTCCCCAGGAGCTACCGCTCCTCTCAAATCAGCTCTTTTTTCCTGGTTTATAAGCCTCAGACACCCTCGACACCTGCTCCCTTCACCTCTCTCTTTTGACCCAATTAAAGACCCACCTATTTAGCCCAGCTCCTGTGATGTATCCCTTCCCACGCTCTTGCCAGTACCTTCAACATTTCTGTCCCCTTGTCCTTCTGCTGCATCCACCCTACAAATCCCTACTACCTGTCTTTCGCACTGCAAGACCCAGGCTTCTGGATGGTGCTGGACATGGACCCCAAAACACACAGGGCTCTTCCAGGAGTAGGATCTCCAAATTCAACTGGGCCCTTGGCTCTGTTTGACATGCTATCTGAGTTTCCGGTCTGCTTCCTTCGTCATTTCTCACTCCGGCTTTTCCACATCCTCTCCTCAAGGCTCCGAATCCCTGTTTGCCCTCCTACAGACATCTTCACCTCCACATCACTCCCCTTTTCCTCCTTCCCCACCACCTCCAAGGCAGCCAGGAACCTCCTCCCATTCACACATCTGTGCCTTTGGTCATCCCCTTTATGTTCTCCCTGAGATCTTGCTTTCCCCTTTCCTTCTAGTTTTAATCCCTCCAGCTCTTATGATTCCTTCTCTGAAAGTTACCAACAGGCACAAACTCTTTCCATCTTAAAAAATAACTCTCGGGGCGCCTGGGTGGCTCAGTGGGTTAAAGCCTCTGCCTTCGGCTCAGGTCGTGATCCCACGGTCCTGGGATCGAGCCCCGCATCGGGCTCTCTGCTCAGCAGGGAGCCTGCTTCCTCCTCTCTCTCTGCCTGTCTCTCTGCCTACTTGTGATCTTTGTCTGTCAAATAAAAAAAATAAATAAAAACTCTCTTTCGCGGCACCTGGGTGGCTCAGTCGGGTAAGCATCTGACTTTTGATCTCAGTTCAGGTCTCAACCTCAGGCTTGTGAGTTCAAGCCCCTTGCTGGGCTCTACACTGGCTGGGGAGCCTACAGAAAAAAAAGAAAAAGAATACTCATGCTTCACCATTGTCTTCAGGCCGTGTTCTGATCTCTTCTGTTTCCGGCTGAGCTCTATCAAGAAGAGTATAAAGCAACTGGCTCTGCTTTTCTGCCCCTCCTGCTTCTTTTCATCAGTTCTACCCAGATCCCAGTCCAACTGTGGGGCTCTTCTGGCCCAGGTCACCAACGACCACAATCTACTGACTCCTTTCAGTTCTTTGTAATTGTATACCCATCTCTCTGCCCCCTGAGATCACTGACAGTTCCTCCTTGGAACCTGCTCCTCCCCTCTCATCGCAGACCCTCCTGCCCTCCTTTTATCCCTCTGATAACTTCTGTCTGCCTCTCTCTCACCCTTGTTCTTGTGGCTGTTCCCGGGGCTTGTGTTAGTCTCCTCCTCCCTGGAGGAAGGCTCCATGATGCCCTCCCTATCTGCTGATGACTCCTATGTCTGACCACTGCTGGAGTTTCCCATAGAGACAGACGGCTCCACCCGCACGGTCTTCCCCAGCCTCCCTCGAGGCTGTTCCCTTTTCTTTGCCCTGTGCCCTCATCAGTGGCACCACAAACTGCCACCAGGCTTGGGCATCCCTCCACTCTCTCCTACGTACCCCACGGGACTCACCAGTTCCATCCCTAATCTGTAAGCTCCTCTCCAGTCCCAGGTGAGTGCCCTAACTCAGATCCACAATTCCTATGCCTGTAACTAGGCACCAGCACATTAAGGGGCCTCCCCTACCTTTGGGTTTGCACTATTTCCCTTCAGTCCCGTTAAAGGCAGTGGACAGGACTCTAGAGTTGCAGAAAGCAGATGGGTGATCATCCAGGGTCAGGGGTGGGCCGGGGGGCGATTAAATATAAAGTAGCATAAGGGAACTTTTTGGCATTGGGCATACTGGTATGTGACTGCTGGGTCTACACACATGCTTGTCAAAATGCATCAGGCTGTACGTTTAAAACCAGTGTGTTTCATTGTACGTAAAATATACCTAAATAAAGGTGATTAAAGCCAGATACCCTTCCATGTCACCGCAGTGCCTGGAGAGCCAAGTTAAAATTTCTGACCCCTGCACAGTTAATTATGGGACCTCTTCCCCATGCCCTAAACACCAACCCACAGCGTACCCCTGAGACCTGGAAGGGGCCTCTCCGTCCCCGCCCTTCCGCGGAACATCCGCTGCGACCCTCGACACTAGGCTTGCGCCCCCGGACCCAAAGGCTTCCCATGGGGTCCCGCGAACCGACATAAATGTCCATCGCACACACTTTCCGGTGGCGTCCTTGGGTTTCTGTCCCCTCCGCCCCGCTTTGGTAGGCTGCGGGCGTGTCAGCTGGAACCTCCCGGCTCCGGGGTTGCGTCTCCAGCACCTCCCACCCAGCCGCTGCTTCCTGAGACTCAGGCCTTGCATCAGTCTCTCTGGGAGGACCCCCGGGCCAACAGCGTCGACTCACTCCTCCAGTCCTGAAGGGGGCACTGTGGCAATATCGCACCTGTCTCCCTGCTCTTGACTTCTCCCTGCGAGCTCCCAGAGCCGCTCGCTCGGGGCTCCGCCCCCCCTTGCAGCATCTCTCCTTCCCATTGGGCGAGGGCGGGCCGGGACGTCCAATGGGACGAGGCGTTGGTGCGAGGCGGTGCCGCCATCTTCGGGCCGCTAGGCCCCCCGCACCAGTCTCTGGCCGTCAGAAGTAGGTGGTAGGTGGGCTGGGTCGCGACGCCTGCGGTCCCCGGCCTCGTCCCCTCACTCTCCGCTGCGGAGCCACAATGCCGCAGTACCAGACCTGGGAGGAGTTCAGTCGCGCGGCCGAGAAACTCTACCTCGCCGACCCTATGAAGGTAAATCCCCGCGGGGCCGCTGCATCGGCCCCGGGTCAGGATGTCATCCCTACGGTCCGCGCGGCCTGCGGAGCTTCTCCAGCCCCGCCGGGAGGTGCTGGGTATGAGCGGAGACAGACCCTACCAGGTGTCGTGGCTCCCACTGCCTCCTCCCGGAGGAGCGGCCGGACGAGTCCCGGAAGCCGGGTCATGCCGGCCCCCAAGCGGCCCTGCTCTGCCTTCCACGTCCCCAAGTCCTGTGGCCGCGGTAGGTTTACGTGTCTCTAAGGGCAGGGCTCCTCCCCCTGCGGCTGCGGCTTCCTGACCCTCGGTGGTCTCGGTGCCCTTTTCCCGTCCCGCTGCGGCGTGTATGAGAAGGCTTGCACCCTTTTCTCGGGAGAATACTCTTAAAACGTAAAATGTTGGCGGACAGTTTAGGGGGCTCATTCGTGGTCCCCACAAAAATTACGGTGAGTAGATGCCAGAGGTTAGCTCCTTATTAAAGAGCAAAGAGGGCCCCATGACGGGAACTGGAGCATTTAGGTCTTGATTTTTCTTCCTCCCGAGTTTCTATTAATTTTGTTGTTCTATCCAGAGACTGTTTAAATCGCTCCTTGTTAATTAAAAGTCTCAGTAGGTTTTTAGACTTAGATACCTAACAAGAAGCTGTGAAACAGTGTTTGTCTGTTCTTTACAGTAACATAATAGGTGATGACATGAGTTAGGTATTTTTGAAATCGAGTGTTTTGTGTATGACAGGATTTCTAGCTCCTCCATTTGGTTGACGTCCTGTGTGTTCTGGGACATTTGTTTCTCCGTGCAGTGTACTGTGAGAACAATACAGGATTTTTGTCCAGAGGTACCCACATGGTACACAAAATATCTGAAAACATAGTAAAGAGTATAGAAGTTCACGTCAAGAGTAGTCGTATTTTAATTAGTTAAATTTAATAGGGAAATGAACACAAGATAGTAATGACAGCATATTGCCGTGAACAGAGCTGGTCTAGAATACGCAGGATCAGGAGAGAGCTTTTCCTCTCTTCACCCCACAGAAAAGTCCAGGGCCTGAAAACTTCTACTGGTTTTCAACTCTGATTTTTTTATAGGTGAGGGGCGCTTGACTAACAGTTTTGTGGAGTGCCTTCTATGTGACATTCTACACTACGTATCCTCAGGTGTATGATTCATGTGAACAGTCAAAATAATCCCTTGAGGCAAATGAATAAATAGTCTTTGATACTTTACACGGATTGCCTGGTCTCCAAGAGATGAAGCTAGAATTTGAACCCCGTTCTCTAAACGCCAAGTCTGTGCTGTCTCTGCTAGAACTAAAGAAGAGGACTTTTGTCAAGACTCCTCGGAATCCGTTTTGGAGAATTTTCTATCCTCTCTCCCACCCTCTGAGCCTGCCCAGTACACCTGTCACCTTTTATTGTTCTCTCTTGCATTGCTCTCACTGGAGATGGTGTTCCTGCTGGACCATGTGATAACCTCTCAGTCTTTCTGCCTTTTTAATCCCTCTTTTACTCATGCCACACCTCTCTGAAACAAAAATGGAATTCTCTCAGTTTCCTACTTAAATACTGGCTTTTCGTTGATTGCCAGGTAAAATCCAGACTCCCAGTCCACAGTCTGACCCTCTCCAATCTTTCTGGCTTTGTCTTCCCACCATACCCACCATCGTCTGTTCTAGTCTCCTGAAGTTACAGAATTTAGATCTTCATTCACACTGCTCCTTCAGCTTCTCTCCTACCCTTTTCCCTAAAAGAAAAAAGCGTGCATTGACAAAGCCATCTTTAGCAAGCCTTTTTACACTTCCCCTTCCCCCAGTTATAATTACTTGTTTTCTCTTTTAGCATTTTACCTGTGTATGCCTCTATAAAAGGACTTCATTCATGCTGTCTTGTGCTTGGTTATTTTGGTTGATGGAATTCAGAGTTCCTAAGAGAGCAAGAATCTTGATTGCTTTTTCTCCTTTTGTGGCATCGGATGACATAGGTGCCCCCTCAGTTACAAAATAGACTCTCTTACAGTGTTCTAGAGCTCTTAACTCCCACTTCCCCTCATGAAGCCAGCCATTATTCTTTCAACCGAGACTGAAGAGTTTACATAGTTGTCATGCTTTTAAAGATTTTATTTATTTATTCGAGAGAGGGAGTGAGTGAGAGCACAAGTGGAGGGAGGCAGAGGTAGAAGCAGACTCCCCACTGAGCAGGGAGCCTTAGGCAGGCTCCATCCCAAAACCCTGAGATCTGACCTGAGTGGAAGGGAAGTCAGAAGCTTAGTCAACTGAGCCACCCAGGCACCCCCATGGTTAATTAGCACATTTTAAAGTTTCTGTTGGTTTCTGGAGAACTGAATTTTTTTAAACATGTAGAATTAAATAACCCAATATATAGAATCTGGTGTCTAAAGATAATCTAGCTGTAATTTATGTAAGTGCTTTCTGAGTTCCCTTTTCTCCTTCACCAAAACAAATCTCCGACTGGTGCCCCCCTCCACACCCCCAATCCCAGGGGAGCAGAGACATAATGGGGAAAGCTGGAGGGTACAGCTCTTCATAAGCCCTTTTTCTTTAGTTTCCAGAATTGTCTTGAGGCTTCTGGTTCTACATTGTGACCATTTTAAAATTATGTTCCTGTTTTGGCTTTTCAATACTTCACATCTTTTGAAACAGCTGGTTATTTTTGTAGGTCAGCAAAAAACGGACTCTGCCGCACTACACTATTTTGAATCCATCATTTAAAAAAATAAAATTAATGTTCCCAGAAGTGGTAAATCCTACTGGGAGATGTTCTCTTCTAGATAAATCATTTTCTTGGCTCCCTAACTGTGGAATGCCGAACAATGGAAGGTGTTATGTAGCATGGTGTTCAGTATAGGAATTGTTTTTGGAAAAGTTGTTGATGGAGACTTCTTTCCAGGACAGAATTCTGTTTTTCTGTCCTAATGCATTGTGTGGTGCCGTGATTTCACTGAATGCTTGAGTCCGATTCTACCTCCTGAGAGCCACAGGGAGGGGACAGCGTGAACTGTGACTACCGTACTTCCTGCCACACAGATTTGGACTTGCATAGTGTAGTCTGCTGTTTTTCCTCCTACTTTTCCTTTCATTCTTCCGTGGCTGGGTTGATATTGTAGGGAAGGAAAAACTGTTCTTTTACCCTCTTAGATTTCATAGCTGGGGCCCTGCAAATTAAATTGACAAGAGACAGAGTAACAAGAAAGAAAACTCAACACATGTATGCAGTGTGCACAGAGTTTACAAAGCATTTGACTTGAGGAGGTAGTTAGAATTGGGGCCTGTATACCGTGATCCGCAATGCTGATGGAGTATGGGAGAGAGGGTGGACTAAGGACGGGGGATTTGGAGATACTGTGGAGGGGAAGGTGATTAGTAGAGATTGTTTTGCAGATAAGAGTCCTCCTTTTCCCAGGAAGGGAGAAAGGAGCACCTTTACTACTAGAAATTTTATGTCAGCTTTACGAAAGTTAGTTTATGTCCTGTTCTTTAGCCAGAAAGGGCAGAGAGCTGATTATTCTCTGCTCAGAACAGTCCTTATGCCAAAGTGACATGTTTTGAGGAAGCATGTTGTGATCCCCTTCAGTATATAGATGGTCCCCAACTTACAATGAATTTTGGTACTGCAAAAGCAATATAAATTCAGTTGAAATTGTACTATGAATTTGAATTCTGATCTTTTCTTGGGCCACAAAGTAATTTCTTTTTTCTTTTTTTTTTTTCTTTTTTAAGATTTTATGTATTTATTTGACAGAGAGAAAGATCACAAGTAGGCAGAGAGGCAGACAGAGAGAGAGGGGGAAGCAGGCTCCCCGCCGAGCAGAGAGCCCGATGTAGGGCTCGATTCCAGGACCCTGAGATCATGACCTGAGCCGAAGGCAGAGGCTTAACCCACTGAGCCACCCAGGCGCCCCCACAAAGTAATTTCTACACCCAGTGAAGGGCTTGAACCCACAACCCCAAGATCCAGAATCAGATGCTCTACCCACTGAGCTGGCAGTGGGTTTTTTGGGGGAATAACCCCATCATGAGTTGAGGAAGAGCTGTATATTTGTGTCGGGGGTGGGCAGAGGGAGAGAGAGAATCCCAAGCAGGCTCCATTCCCAGCACGGAGCCCAACATGGGGCTTAGTCTCACAACCCTGAGATCATGGTCTGAGCCAAAATCAAGAGTCGGATGCTTAACTGACTGAGCCACCCAGGTGCCCTGAGATCTGTATATTCTTAATGCCAAACCACCTTAAGAGTCTCTTGGATATTCCCTGAATGTGGGTGTGTTTTGGGAATTTTCAGTATATCTCTTCAAACTGACTACAAATAAATATTGAACTTTTTAGTAAGTCTTTTTAAAAAATGAATTATAGCAATAGGAAGGAACTAAAATACTATTTTCTACCTCATTTCAATAATAATATTTGAAGTAAAGATGTATGTAGATGTTTTGGCTATTCTAGAGGGATCCTCTCTAGCATACCTGAAGATTAATTATTTATGAGAAATGTCTTCTGACTTCACTGTTTCTAAATGTGTATTTTTATTTCAGGCCCGTGTGGTTCTCAAATATAGGCATTCTGATGGGAGTTTGTGTATTAAAGTAACAGATGATTTAGTTGTAAGTATACATTTTTATTTGTTGCATATTTCCAGATTCGTTTGAGTTAATCATGTGTTTGAAATTGTTTACATAGAATTTATGCAGATTGCCCATTAGGATGCTTATTTTGCATTTCATTCCAAAGTCAGAAATCTCATTCTCGAAGCTACTTTTATAGACTCTTGGGAAAATAATGTAGTACGTCAAGTGTCATTTAGTAATTACTTCAGACCTGAAGCAAAAGGAGTGTACAGACTAAAACTTAAACTGGGTATGAGGGGATAGAGGTCTCCTTATGAGTGTATGGGAAGGAAATGGTGTTTGAACACATGATACAGGCTTCATAGTTGCCTCCCTCCTTCCCACCCTGCTCAGTCTTGTCCCTTCCGCACACCCCGTTACTTCCGGGACCCTCTGCCGCCTGATCGCCACACGGCGGCAGTCGTCCGCTGAACGAGTCTCGCGGCCAGCCCAGCAGCAGCCCCGCGCTTCCAAACCTAATGGTCTCAGCAGTCTGCATCTTACTGGACCTCCTGGCTGCTTCTCATACATAAAACCACTCTGGGGGAAATTACTGTGGCATCTGTGGCTCTGTTTTATCTTCTTTTTCTTTTTCTGTGCTTGTCTTCGTGCTCTTTGCTAATAAATACTGGTTTCTCCAGAATTCTGTCCTGGGTCAGCTTTTCGTACTGCTTTTGGAGCAGTCCATTCAGCCACAGTGCCCAGGACTGCTGCAGTCTGGAGACAAAACCTGTCTCCACATTTGTACATGTAGGTCACATTTTTCTTTTGACTTCCTGACTAGCTCTCTGTTCAGCGTCCTTTCCTCCATGCGCCTCAGAATTAGCCTGTCCAGGATGGAACTCCTCATCACTTCTGAAACTGCCACCTCCTGTTTGCTAGTGCGATAGAGTCCTCCGTTTCCCGTTCTCACGTCCACTGGCCCCTCACGTGAAGAGCTTGTCTTCGATCCTCTGACATGCTCCGTGTGCTCTCCCAGGCACTTGGGAATTGCCGACTCAAGCACCCTGGTCTCATTTCCTATCACGAGCACTCCGTCTCCACTGTGCCTCCTGTGAGTTTAGGGTGTCATCCTCACTTGGCTGACCGGCTAGACCTATCTCCCAAATGTGTCCCTGCTTCCAGTTCACCCTTTAGTTGTCTGGAGAGATTTCTAAAAAGCAGGTTTGGTCATTAGACCCTGCTTAAAACCTTAGTGGCTCCTTGTCACTGCTAGTGTGACTGCAACCTCACATGCCCTCCATCCTCTGCCTTTCCTCCGTTACTGCGGGGCTCCTGTGACGGGGCGGGCTGTCTTAGGCCTCTGTGCCTCTGAGTGTCCTCTTCCCATCTTTGCGGCATTGAATCCACTGCCACCCCAGTGTGGTGAGATGGGTGCTTATCTTTCAAAACCCAGCTAAAGGAATGCTTCCTCTCTTGCTTTTCTTTTTGGCTCTTTTTGTGCTGTATCACAATTGTTTTATCATATTTGTCTTCTTAGCAGATTGTGAGCTTCATGACAGTAGAGAGCAGTAAAGTTCTTACCAGATGTCCAGTGACTAGCATGGTATCCGGACCCGGAGGTTACTTAGATTAATTCTTTAAAAAATTTCAGAGTGACTTCTTGTCTTTGCTCATATATTAGCTTTTTATATATTTGCGTTCAAGGTTCTGTTGTGAGGTTGCGTGAATTCAGACTTTTAACGATTACCGTGTCTTCCAGGCACCAGTTAAGTTGGAAGTAACTGAAAACGTGAAAAATGGTGTCGTGTGCTATACTTAGAGTCAAGAGATTGGAATCGGAGTTTAGCCATTTACCAGTGTCTCAGCCTTGGAAAAGTTCAGACCAAAGTTCGGCTTTCTGGGGCTCCGTTTCCTTATCTGTAAAGTGCGTAGTGGTGGCCTGCTCCCCTGATCAGGGGGTGGGACATAAACCCCACACGGGAAGGTACCTAGCATTAGTGCTTGCCTCCCAGTACATCCACGCGTGCACTTGAGTCTGGGATGTTCACACTGATGATCGTCTCCATCGTCTCCGTTGTGATGGGCACAGAGTGGGGAGGTTTATCTGCTGAAGACAGGTTGGCGTGTCCTATTTTTAAGTTAGGAAAAAATGCAGAACTGATTTTAATACAAAAGGCTTTAACTCAAAATGATGACTTTTTGCCTCCAGTAATGATTAAACATAATTAAGGATACATGGATGCCAGTATTGGTAGGAACTTTATGTCACACTGATGATTCCTGTGATAAGATCGAAATATGAAAAATGCCTTCTGTGTTCTTTCTTAAAACTACTGAGAATTAGTCCATGTTTGGAAGGGGCCAAAGACACAACCACATCCATTCTCCTAAATATTAAATATCTGACTCAACTCTGACAGAAAAAAATCTGTTTCCTAATGACTCTCTTAAAAAGTGTGTGCACTTCCCTTGCCAGTTCATCTTAATAGTTACTACTTCCTTCAGAAACTCAGTCTTAGGCTACATTTATTATTATCACTGTGTCTTTGACTTTTTTATAATCCCATTTATGCTTCATTTTTTTCTGATCCCACGACTGATTTATAATATTTTCTAGGACTTTGAGATCTTTTCTGTCAAACCATAGTGACAAGGTAGATAGATTCTCCCACAGCACATATACCGAAATTGGAATGTTGGAGATTATTATGGCCTCTCTATAAGATTGTTACACAAATTTCTACAGTATGTGGATAACAGTTTTAAGTGAGTGCCTTTTAAAAGCTAAATCAAGGGGCGCCTGGGTGGCTCAGTGGGTTAAAGCCGCTGCCTTCGACTCGGGTCATGATCCCAGGGTCCTGGGATCGAGCCCTGCATCGGGCTCTTTGCTCAGCAGGGCGCCTGCTTCCCTTCCTCTCCCTCTCTGCCTGCCTCTCTGCCTACTTGTGATCTCTGTCTGTCAAATAAATAAATAAATAAATAAATAAATAAATAAATAAAAAGCTAAATCAAGGGGCGCCTGGGTGTCTCAGTGGGTTAAGACCTCTGCCTTCAGCTCAGGTCATGATCCCAGGGTCCTGGGGTCGGGCCCCGCATCGGGCTCTCTCCTCGGTGGGGAGCCTGCTTCCCCCCACCCCTCTCTGCCTACTTGCAATCTCTGTCTGTCAAATAAATAAATAAATCTTTTTTAAAAAAATAAATAAATAAAAGCTAATTCAACTCAGACCAGTCGGGGATGATAAGATTGAACTATAGGTTACTTGAGTTCATGAATTTTTTTTTTTAAGATTTTATTTATTTATGTATCTGAGAGAGAGAGAGAGAGAGAGAGCAAGCCTGAGAGAGGAGGGAGGGCCAGAGGGAGAAGCAGACTCCCTACTCAGCAGGGAGCCCGACTTGGCAGGGGTTCCGACTTGGGGGTTGGTTCAGAGTTCGATCCAGGGACTCCAGGATCATGACCTGAGCCGAAGGGAGTTGCTGAACAGCTAGCCACCCAAGGCACCCTAAGCTGATGAATATTATTGCAGAATCATTCGTTTCTTTAAGACTCATGTGAACCCTTAAGATGGGCTAAAGAAAAATGGACCTTTTAATACAAAATAAGGGGGAAAATTGCAGCTTAAATTTGATATTTTTGAAGACTCTAGAACAAATGGTTTTTGACAAACCACAGGCAGATCTTAAGCAAGTATTTAACTTAGAGCAAGGAAGAATTTGGTTTGGATTAAAAATTGGGAATACCTTCAAAAAATCAAAGCTGGACAGATTTATCTGGTTTAATTTAGACCATGACCAGCTGTGAGCAAGGGATGGTGGATTTTTTTTTCCTTAAATTATCATTACTATTGCCTCCCCATCTCCCAATTTCACAAGTAGGGAAACAAGTCCTAATATTGCTGTGCTTTTCCCAGTATAACTCAGTTAGTCATGACCAGATCCCAGGGAGAAAATAATCTGATTCCTAGCCTGCAGTTCTCATCAGACCCCACAGCAGGATTTAGCATGTTACGTAATTGGTCATTTTTGAGGAGCTTCAGTTAGAGTTCATTTAGTTTTTTGCTTATGGCAGTGGAGTTGGAAATACTAAAAGATACTAAAGGAATGAATTGTCAGGGGCTTAGAAACCTTAACTGCCTTAGTATGAGGAAAGATTCCTATTTGTACCCAATCCTACATTTGCTATGTTGTTGATAATCTAGTTTTGCGTAGTTAATGTGTACTTTTAAAATTTCTGACAGTGTTTGGTGTATAGAACAGACCAAGCCCAAGACGTAAAGAAGATTGAGAAATTCCACAGTCAACTAATGCGACTTATGGTAGCCAAGGAATCCCGCAGTGTTGCCATGGAAACGGACTGAATGGTTTGAAATGAAGATCTGTCATGTTCTTAGGAAGTAAATCTCTTTTGAATCTGAAAAAGTATTGGAAAGGGAATACTTTATGTAACTAAGTGGGCTCTTCAGAAATGGGGAGATGATTTTTTTTGTACTTTTTTTTTTTTTTAATGTTTACTTTAGAGAGCTAGGAATGTAAATGCTTTCAGGTAGGAAACTTTTATTTATTTTTGGAAACTGAACAAATACATCTATGTTGGGAAACCTTTTGCAGGTTGATGTGGGACAAAATACGTAATTATTCTCTGGTAAATTTGTATCAGTAATTTGAAAATGAGATACCAGTGAAAGGCAGTTCTTCCTTAAATTTGGTTAATCTGTCTTTGAAAGAAAATTAAATGTAACTATTTTGCCAGATTGATATATTTCTGTGCTGAAATCTGTGCTGTTGATAACCTATAAACAAAATATGGAAACTGGAATTAATCTGTGCACAGCAGCATACCATAGACTCTGTATGATACAGTGTGTAGTCTCTGTTCTGTCTGAAAGTGATCATGGAGGGCGCCTGGGTGGCTCAGTGGGTTAAAGCCTCTGCCTTCAGCTCCCGTCTTGATCCCAGGGCCCTGGGATCTGGCTGCATCAGGCCTCTGCTCGGTGGGGAGCCTGCTTCCCTTCCTCTCTCTGCCTGCCTCTCTGCCTACTTGTGATCTCTGTCAAATAAATAAATAAAATCTTAAAAAAATAAAATAAAAAGTAATCATGGAAACAGATAATGCTTTCCTTACCTAACACTTTACAAATTTGAACTGTGTTTTTGAATATAAGGGATTTGTAATATCCTTAGCTTGTGGAGCAGACACTTGCTTTGAATCTAGTTTTCAGTGCTCGGAAACAACTGCAGTTATTTTAAGTGCATGAACAGAGTGATCACTAGTGGACTGAAAACAATGTATTACACAAGTATTTGTCACAGATTTCCCATCTACATTTTCCTGGAAGGGCTAAAGATTTTTCAAACTGTTAAATCTTTGCATGTGTCTGTGCCTGCCCCCACCCCACCCCCACTCGTTTCTCTCTGTATTTAACCAAGGTGTAAAGCCTGACTGTCATAGCTGTTATGTTTTCCATTAGGCCAGAAGGATATTATTTGATATTTATCGTATCATAACCTTAATTTTACCATCTAAATGTTCACATGTTGCTTCCTACATTACAGTATTTTTTTGTTAGGAATTTGTCATGTTGAGCAGCATTTTAATGTGGAAAATTCCATTAGCCATATGAATTTTTGCATGTTTCAGAGAATTAAGTAAAATATTATATGAATATATTGTTTCTGTTGAAGTTTTTAAGTTCTCAAGAATATACTGTATTCATTTAGTCTAAAATGAGCCTGATGATGCTGTAAGTAAATTTTGTTTGTTGTTTTGTTTGTTTGTACTTTTTATTACATGGCTTTCTCTGAAGATGTATGTTGATGGCAAGGTTGTTTTCTTCATTAAGAGGAGTAACATCGAATAGTAAAGGGTATTTGGGGTTTGGGGTTGTGTCCCCACCCCCCGCCCCTGAATCAGTGGGATCACTGGAGGATTTTTGGCCTTTTTCTTTTTCATTTACGCCTTCTACTTATTAACACTACTTTATAAAAATAACCTGGAAGGGTGAGACTGGGATTGGGATTCCTCAGGTCCTTACAACTTACAACTTATAGCAGAGGGCGAAAGGCAGATAGCCTGTGTTACAGTATTGGCTGTGCTACTTCCTGACTCCGTGGTCTTTGGATACTTCTCTGAGCCCATTTCCTTCTCTGGAAATTGGGCTGACAACAGTACTTCTAGGACTTGAGAATCAAATGGTAGAGCCTATCTAGGTCAATAAATAGTAGCTGCTAGCAGTAGTAATTGTATTTTTTTCAGGGGAATAGGTGTACGTGGCTCTTAAAGCTTATTTCATAATTTTAATTGAAGGATTATTTAGAAATAACATCTGCTTTTTCTGCTGAGAGCTGTATCTTTTATTAAATGTCATTTTTGGCAGTTGGGGAGCAAAACAGGACCGTCCCCATAGAGAGTGTTCTTATGTGGGAAGAAACTGAAATCCTTAAATCTAAAACTTCTGTTTGTTTGCAGAAAATAAAATTATTAAGATAATTTGTAAGTATCAAGTTTCTTAAAGTAAATATAAATAACAAAACCCCAAATCATCATATATTCTGAAAATTGCAGTGCTCTATACTCCCAATTTTTTTTTTTACTCATGAAGTATTTCTAGACCTCCTAATCACACACACCCAGGTTAATTTTTAACAAACGTGTTTGTGATCTGTTTGGTCAAACCCTGCTGACTCTCATGTAACCCACATGAAGTCACGGTAGTGATTGAGATGCGAGGTGTAGTTAGCAGTTAAAACAATTTCATTTTGTTCTTCTAAGGACCACTCTCCTTGGAGCGCAGAGTTCATTAAACATTGCTCTTAGGCTACATATGTTCTCTACTTACCTCTTGGGGTACCTAGTCTGCCACCTTTCTGTCTTAAAAATAAAAGGTCTCGCAGCACGTGAGTGGCTCAGTTGGTTAAGTGTCCCACTCTTGATTTCAGCTCAGGTCATGACCTCGGTTGTCAGATTGAGCCCTGCATTTGGCTCCATGCTTAAGATTCTCTCCCTCTCCCTGTACCCCTGTCCCACATGGGTTGCTTGTGCTCGCAAAAAAAAAAAAAAAAAAAAAAGCATGTGTGTGTATAAAGTGTCTTTCTCAGCCACAGCTTTAAGTCATTGATAGACGCAGTGTTGGCAGCATTTTAAAGTTGATAACCTTCTGTTACCCTTAGGAAACTCTAAGATTAGCAATTGTATGATGCTAAAAGTCTTCAAAGTATTCTAAAACAAATTCAAAATGAGGGAACTATGAAATTAATTGCCCAAGAACAGTAAGAGGTCCTATCCTTTCTGCCTACTGAAAATAAAACTGAAAGCCAAATCCCTATATTCGTTGCACTCCTCCTATTCATCTTCGTCAAAGATGGCCTTGTGGTAATTTGTCATCATATTCAGTATTATTTCTCTTGGAACAACAGGGAGAATGTTCCTTTTACTGCAGTTGAAATGTATGGTAATGTGAGAAGAAAGTCAAAATAATTTCATTCCTCTTTTTTACATTAAAAGCACTAGTTGGGGGGTACTTGGCTGGCTCAGTTGGAGGAATGTGTGGCTCTTGGATTTCAGAGTCGTGAGTTTGCAACCCACGGTGGGGAGAGAGAATAAACTTTAAAAGCACTAGTTGGACTGGTTTGAGATAAGGTGGAGCAGCCACTTGCCGCCGCAGCTCTTCTACCAGCTTCAGCTATGAGTATGTGGACCTCCAGAGGGAAACAGCAGGTGGATTAGGGAAGAAGATAAGAGCTTGAAGTACCACTGAACCCATGACGAGTCCACCCTCCCCCAGCCCCCCCCCCCGGTATCCCACAGCCTGAACTCAGCACATGGGAAAGCTGGAAGTGAGTATTGGGGTACAGATAGGCATAAGCCCTCTCAGTCTGGCTCAAGGAGTACAAGGGGAACTTCTAATACACCCAAGAAAGTGTAGAAATCTTTTGGTTTTTTGCTCTTTTGTGTTCTCTTACCACGCCACCACTTTGACCCCCAGCAGTCCCATCATGGTGATAGCATCCACTATCGGCATTGGGAGCCTGTGGGAGCCAAAACGTGGGGAGAGGACCCTTCCTCTCCCGTACAGCTTTGTTTCCAAGAGGGTAGAACAATCCCCATTGCATTTCTCTCTTTGCCCTCCATCCACTTGGCCCTGGATGCACACACAGTGGCAAAGTAGTCTTCTGGCCAGAGAATTAGAAATAGAAGGAACCGGAAAGTACCAAAGAGATCACAGAGAGGAAGGAATTCAGAAAGGGACCTCATACTTGCTGATGAACCCCTGGGTCCACTGCCAAGCTGTACGTATGTGTGGATCTGATCCTTTTCAGTAGACCAAAGACTCTAATGAAGAGACCACCACCTAGATCCCAGCCTGGCAACTGGGAGGCATTTACATCCTGTAGATCCAGAAAGCACTGCAATGATTTTGAACAGACATCCCAAACTGTCTTCTGAAGGCTGTGAGTCCAGTGTCAGTTTAGCTTTCAAAACCCTTGCCTTGGGACGCCTGGGTGGCTTAGTGGGTTAAAGCCTCTGCCTTCGGCTCAGGTCATGATCCCAGGGCGCTGGGATCAAGCCCCACATTGGGTTCTCTGCTCAGCAGGGGATCTGCTTCTCCCTCTCTCTCTCTGCCTGCCTCTCTGCCTACTTGGGATCTCTGTCAAATAAATAAATAAAATCTTTTAAAAAAAAAACCACACACAAAAAACTCTTGCCTGATCTTACACACCTGGAACTCATAATGTGTTATGTCCATTTTGCCAGAATTTTTAAAAAATAATAAACTTTTGCCTACGACCTAGCCAGGTTGACTGCCTGCTGAAACAAAAACTCAGTATTTTCTGTTGGGTTTGAACAAGAGTTAGAGTTTAATGACAGTGTTTGAAATGTCAAGGATACAATGCAGAATTACCTGGCACACCAGGAAATGGGGAAAACCTCAATTCCTAGAAAAAGACACAGATATCACATGTTGGAATTACCTGACAAAGACGTTAAAGCAACTATTATAAAAGTGCTCCAGCAAATAATCAAGAACTCTCTTGTAGCCAATGGGATGAAAAAGAACCTCTGCAAGGAAATAGAAGATATATATAAAAAGAACAAAATGGAAATTTTAGAACTGAAATACACAGTAACCAAAATTAAAAACTCCCTGAATAGCGTAGCATAATGGAGGAAACCATGAACTTGAAGATAAACCAAGAGAATTTAATCTGACCAGAGAAAAAGGTTGGGAAATGACAAAACCATGAGCAGAACTTCAGAGATCTGCAGGACAATAATAAAAGGTCTAACATTTGTGCCATCTGAATCCCTGGAGGAGAGGAGAAAGCATAATGCTGGAAAAAAATATTTGAGGAAATACTGGCTAGAATCTACCCAGTTTGGTGAAAAACTTAAACCTTTGGATTCAGGAAACTCACAAGATACCCACACCCAACAGAGTCGTAATGAAAACTGGACAATACTCTTTAAAGCAGCCAGTGGAAAAGCAATGCATTATCTATGGGAAATAATGATTTAGATGACTGATCTCTCATCAGAAATGGAGGCCAGAAGGAAGGAGCACAACATTTCGAAAAGGCTAAAAGGAAAGAACTGACAACCCAGAATTCTATATCCAGTGAAAATATCCTTCAGGAAGTGACTGGAAAGTCACTCTTAGATGAAGAAAAAGAATTCATTCCCAGCAGACCTGGTCTAAAACAAATCACTAAAGGGAGTTCCTCAGACCAAAAGGAGATGATGCCATAATAAAAACGGAAACATTCAGGAAAGAAGGAAGAGCAACAGGAATAGTCATGATCTGGGTTAAAAAAATTAAACCGTTCTCTTGAGTTCTTAAAATACATTTGATGATAGAAGTAAAATAAGACACCGATGGTGTTTTCACTGATGGAATACATAAGACATCAGTAACAAAGGGGGATTGTGGAACTGTATGATAGTAAA